GGGCAGAAAGAAATACACGTCCTGCACTGGGCTCTAGGGTGAGAGCACAGCTCTCCATGCTCTCAGACCTGCTCTGAATGCTACACTGGGTTCTGCTGCAGGATTGCAGGATTATAAAACCCGTATTTCCTGCCTTTGCTCCCTGGTTTTTTCATCATTCGGTCCTGAAAATTAGAATTATTTAAGTCTGTGTGGCTCAACACCCCAAATGCAAAGTATTGAAAATGACATTTAACAGTCTTGGCTCAAACAGTGCCTGCAGGTCTCATCCTGCTCCTACCAAAATAGGAGAAAATCCCATCTTCTGTAAAGATACACTTTTTAAAAATGATTTTTCCTTTCCTTTTTAGCTTCCTAGGCCAAGGATCGCATTAACACTGCTCCATTGAAAGCTCTGAAGTGTTCTGTATATGGAAAATTGACTTTTTTTTTTGGTGAAGTTTGCACTAGTTTTAAAGCAGAAATTGCTGAAGAGAGAATTTAAAAAGCTTGGGAAATGCAGTGGTCCCTAATGGCTCGCAGTAATGAGTAAAATCAGATGCTCATTCCGATTTCCTTCCCCCTGTAATTGAAATATAAGTCGTGCTGGAGCTGCAAAGCTGCCGCCCAATTATCACCCAACTCAGCTCATTTACATCACCCGTCCTGCTCTGCTCCACGTGAAATGCTCAGGAGGGCCAATGTAAATGTATTTATAGCCCAGTAGGATGTGTTTAGCTCTTGATGTGTGGGTAATAATGTTATATATAGCTATTTGTGTGTATATACATAAAAAGATAGACCCAGGCAAGCTCCTTCACATGACAACACAGAGCTACCAGACATGGAGATGATGGTTTGCTTCAGTGAGTGGCTTGAATTTTAATTGCCATGTGGATGTGATCCTCCCTTACTGGCACATCCCCTCTGCCCTTCAGCTGCTGTACCTGGCACAGGGTGCTGTGTGAGGGACCAGCCCCATTCACTGGAAACCAACACAAAATAGCCCCTGTCTCATTAGGGCCACTTCTCACCCTGATTTCGGGGCAAGCTCACACAGCCTTGTGGGATAACACTCAGTGCAGCCCTTCTTCCCTCCCAGAACCCTGCCAAATGAGTTGTCTTTGCACACCCAGCTGGAATTTGGCAGGCAAACATCAGGCTGGCCCAGGCAGAATTCCTCCCATGCCAAACCCTGTCTCCGTGTCCCATCTCAGTATCACTGGGGGCAAGAGCTGGCAAGCTGAGTGTCACACAGCAGGCATTTCAGCAAGTCTCTGTAATTTCTTTAATTATTCAGACAACAGAGCACAAGAATAATAGCTTCAAGTACATTCTTATACATTATTTTAACAGTAATAGATATGTATTTAGTCATAAACTATTCTGTAGCCACCACTATGTGTACATTTATACAAACTATTGCCATACTCAGACCCTGAAAATGGATGGTGACATCTCCTAGGAGAAACAAGGTGACAACAGCACATCCTTCCTACAAGAGCTGGTTGCATTGGTCTGTCCTAACGAATTGCTTCTAAGGTGTAGAGTGGTGGTCTGGGCACAGTGCGTTGAAGGCTACAGGAGATGTCATAAATACATGGTGAGAGGGAGGTCAGCCATCAGAATTATGCGCAAGGGGACACGGCACAGGGTTACTGGGCACGGCAGCTTGATCCTAGCGTACAGAGGCCTCTGAGCTTCTTCCACACAGCAAAACTCCAGCATTCTGGTGGAGATTAGAGATGGTCTGATATGATCTGTACTGGGACGTGTGCCCTACTCTGACCAAAGCACAGGCTCTGCACTGGAAGGTCTTTGTCATCCCAGTTAGTTTGAAGGCCTCACATCAGTGGCTCAAACTCTATCCTATTGCACAACCTCATCGCACTGCACAATCTCATGAAGATCTGCGCTTCCACAGTGCCATTTTCCCAGAGCAAAGTCCTTATGTTGTGCAAGCCACTGTTGAGAGATAGGGAACAGAGAGCTGAGATGCCCCAACACCTCCATGGAAGGACAAATTCTTTACAAAGTAGAGGCTCCTTTGTTCCATGACCGTATCTTACATCCATGCTTGCAGCTCCCAGTGCACCAGCAGCTCCCAAAAGACCCACAGGCAGCAGAGTCCCAGCCTTGATGCCTTCAATGCACAGTCCCAGTGATGCCATACTCTGGTGAGAGGTGAAAATACTACCACCACTGCAGTGGTGACCTTAGGGATGGTTGGAGCACTATGGAGGATGGCGTTTAGTGAGCCAGAGTAGCTGACATAGCTGCAGTCAGATGGTCTGAAGAACTGCAGTTGCCACTGTCTTGCAAGCGTGCCCATTCAAGGGCCAACACCAGTTCCTTCTAAAGCTGGACCTTCAGTGGGAGCTGGCTGGCCCATCCCAGAGCAGAGCCTCCATCTCCTGCCCAAGGCCACAGCTCTGCTCTCATCCTGACAGTCCATGCAGATACTGCAACACTGAGTGGTCATGCTAAGCTCTAGCCATCTTGGCCACCACCAAGCATCATCCCTATCTTCAGAGGGAGAAAGTGGCTTCCAGATGGAGGCTGTCAGGAAGGAGAAGCCATCTCTTGTGATCCATCCCTTAGAGGCTGACGTAGGTGCATGTGTGCCCAGGCTCTCCCATCACCTCTTTGGGAATTCCCAGATTCTCAGCACAGAAAAGCAAGATCTGCTCCTCCATGCATCCCAGTAGGACCTCTGGAGCAGCCTTCCATCCCAGTGGAGGATGTGGCCTCGTCTCTGGAGCACAGTGCTGCCCGAAGAGTGAACATCCTAAACCAGTGAGTAATGGAAACCGAAGAAAAGGTGAGAAGACATTCAAGGAAAGTTTCCTTCCAGCACGGTCCTGTCTCAGATGCACACAACACAATGTTTTGCAAAATTTGTCAAGGAATCCTGAAAATTCTCTGTGGAGGAGAAAGGGGGTTGCAGCAGAACCTCACTGATCAGCACCCCCAAACCGAGCTCTGGGGCCTTGGAGCTGAGCTCTTCTCCCCCAAATCTCCACCAGTCAGTGGCTGGGGGTGGGATTGGATGAGTTACCACTCAGGTTTGGCTCTCAGAAAAAAACAAACAATTTTTACCCCTCTTTTTTGGCAAAGGATGTTTTGCTCTTCTCTTGGTAGCCCCAGGCCCTGCATCTTCACTCAGGCAAGGTGGCCACTGGGATCCAGTCAGCAGTTCCATCTTTCAGCATCAGCCATGTGAATTCCTGTTAATTCACCAAAGTCAGTGCCAGTTCCCCAGGTTTGCATCTCCAGGGGATGCAAATTAAAGCTAATCAACCCCACAGACTCACTGCAACGGGAATGCAGCTTCCTGTCTTCAGGATAATTTGCTTCCAAGGGGAAACCGGGCTTGGTCCCTTTGGAAATCCACCAAGAAATGCCTGCAATGCCCAGGTCTGACCAAGAGGTGGGCACAAACCCAGTGCTGAAACTGGAAGAGGAGAAACTTTGCCTGAGCAAGAATGGGGAGATGGGGCACTGGTGTGGGCAAAGGGAAAGGTCTGCGGTTGTTAGTGCGAATGAGTGAGGTTCTACTGTTAGTACAACAGGTTTGGAGCAGGTGTGATGTATCTGTTTCCTTATCCAACCTACCAAAATTAAAAGTGATAAGCAACATATCTAAATAAAATAATGGGCGTTTCTATGGGCGTTATATGTTACGTTTCCCAAACAAATAAGGAAAAAAATAAGGGAAAAAAAAAAAAAAAGAAAAAGAAAAAGAAAAAAAAAGAGCAAAAAATGGGATGCACCAGGAACTCTTAGTTATTATATACTAACCAGACTGTGCATGGCACATTTTATTTCTATAAAACTATTAAAACTATTACAAAATATTCAAAAATACATTTTAGTAAATTTACAGCAGTTATTTCTCAATTTATTAATGCAAAACATCCTTTTCTCCCCTCTGTACAAACTACCGTCTCCATCGTCACAGAATTGCCGCCATGTGCGCTTCTTAAAAAATATTATTTTCTAATAAATTTTTTCTTGAAGTTAAAAATAACAAAGTTTCTTACGGCTTTTTTTTTTTTTTTTTTTTTTTTTTCAAATAAATAGTTTGTGTAACAGTCTTGACTTCCATGAACGTGGCCAAATGGTGGTTTGTTTTTTTGGTTTTTTTTTTTTTGTTTTTTTTTTTTTTTTACAGAGCAAAAATATTTAAGAGGCATGGAAAACAATACAGGAAATGACGTTACATTTTGAAACTATTTAAATTAAAATAATATATTCTCATATTTTACACTATTTCAAAAAACGAAATGTGATTCAGTTAAGTATTGATCTCTCAAAAAAATCTAATTTACAATTCTGTGTATAAAAATATAATTTACGGACCCCCATGAAGTTTGTCTTTCTTTTCTGTATATTTGTTCGCTTGCTTGTTTCTCTAGACTCGCTGAAATGAAGGAGCAACGTAATGGAGAGATGGGAAAGTACGGAATTTTGCTTTCTGAAAGTCAGGACACACGTGACATGTAGAAAAATAGACTCTGCGCAGTTTTGCTCGGCCTCACAAAATAATTTTTTCCCCTGTGAGAACAGTTCGCATGATAATAAATTATCAAAGAAACTATTTAAGGCTCTTGAAGGTCCGGTTCATATCATTTAAAACATCTATTCGACATACCAAAGAAATAAATATCCAGGAGAGGAGGAAAAAATAAAACCAACAACAACAACAAAACAATGAACAAAACAACAAAAGAACAAATAAAAATATATATATATTTATAAACTAAACGGAACAGAACTTCCCGGGGTCTTTGTTTCCCTTAAAGTCTACTTTGGACTGTCCTACTTAATTATTATTATTTTATTATTATTATTTTTAAGTCTTAATCCGTGCTCTTTTTTAAAAATATGTATTATTTTTCCTTTTTTTTGTTGTTGCTTTTTTTTTTTTTTTTTTTTTTTTTTGTGTTTTTTTTTCATTTGGGTTATTTTTTTTTTTTTTTTTTTTTTTTTTTCTTTTTTTTTCTCCTTCCACCCCCCCTATTTTTCTCTCTCTCTCTCTCTTCCACACTCCATTTCTGTCCCTCTCCAGCCGCTCTCAGCTGGCCGATGCCACCATGCCCAGCGGGTGCAGCGCGTCACCATCCAGCACCCAGCTGCCGATGCGGTAGAGGAGCCGTGAGTACCAATGGATGCCGGTGGTGGTGGTGGCGGCCGTAGGGATGGCCCCATCTGGGCAGAGGGCGGCCAGCAGCCCCTGAGCCAAGCGGAATGGTGCGAAGGCCCAATGGGCCCAACTGTGCTCCTCAATGACGGCGTAGCAGGAGGCCAGCACCCGGTTGATGAGGATGGTGCCTTGGGCGGTGAGCGGGGCATAGGCTCCCGATGCCTCCTCCCGCAACGAGATGCTGTGGACGGACGCCGGCTGCAGCTGCTGCCCGCCCTCGCCCAGCACGTAGACGCGTTGGCCAGGCTTCACGTTGCTGGCGAAGAGCGCCTGGCCGCCGGTGAGCCCTGCGGCCTCCGACTGGTTGTGCTGGGGGGCCACGAAGAGCAGGTGGGCTGCAGTCAGCAGCAGCCGGGCTTGGGGCTGCCGCGTCTCAATGACGTAGAAGAGCTTTCGGGAGCCGTCCTCCCGGTCGAGGAAGGTGAGGAAGTCGCTGTAGAGCAGCCGGCCATCTGCGTCAGCAGCCAGCACGCGGTCTCCAGGGCTCAGGTCCTTCACCAGCTTGGTGCCACCGTGCTCCAGGTGCACTGTGGCCGAACCGGGGAAGCAGCCTCCTGATTTGGCTGCCACTGAGTTTTCTGCACGAGGAAAGAGACACAAGGTGTTAGAGGGGTGACCAATGTGCAGGGACACATTTCCCAACGTGCCCCAAGCATAGAGCCATGAACCATTAAGCTTGGAAAAGATCTCTAAGGACATCAAGTCCAACCATCCGCTTACCACCAATATTGCTCACTAAACCATGTCCCTCAGTGCCACATCTACACGTTTCATAACACCTCCAGGGACGGTGAGTCCACCACCACCTCCCTGGGCAGTCCATGCCAGTGCCAGACAACTTCTTCCAAGAGGAAGTTTTTCCTAATATCCAACTTGAACTTGGCTCATTTGAGGCCATTCCCTCTCATCATACTGCTGCTATCTGGGACAAGAGGCTGCCTTCACCTTGTCAAAAGCTCTTCTAACAGAGTTGTAGAGAGTGATTAGGTCTCCCCTGAGCCTGCTCTTCTCCAGTCTTCTCCAGCACCACCAGTCCTAGTAACCAGCATGTCCTCATTGCAGCTGGCTACAAGAGACCCTTCCAGCACCATGCCACCATGCTTGGCCTCCTGCTGAGTTACAAGCCCTTCAGTTGCATTCACCTCCTCGAGCAAGATAGTCAAAACTTTTCTGCTGAAATAGCTGTTCCAGAATAAGGGTTGTTTTTTCTTTTTTTCTGGAAGTACTTCTCACTTGGTTCCATTTGCCTTGCACCTCACAGATGCCAGCAGGTAGAGCATAGGTCTACAAGCAGAGTGTCTTCTCTTTCTCTAGGACCCTGTTTGCTGCTCATGGCACTTTGTACTGAAGAAGCCCATCTCTCAGGCAGCAAATGCCACAAGGCAGGATAGCTTTCTCGTGGAAAGAACAGAAGCCCAATTTGTCAAGACTTCCACCCACAGACTTCACTGCCTTTTCATTTCTGGGGTTTGCACCCCATTCCCTGTAACACCACTGCCCTGCAGTCCCCAAGACTTCAATTCACTCCATGTAAAAACCCCTCTCTCACTACTTCACCAAAAGCAGGGTTCTGTCCTGAGTTAGTGGTCCCAGGGCATCCCTATGCCTGCACCCAACCCAGATACCTCCTTCACATGAATCATAGAACCATTAAGGCTGGAAAAAACCTCTAAGATCATCCAGTTCAAACTCCCACCTACCACCATTATTGCCCACTAAATCATGCCCCCAGGCATCACACCTCCATGTTTCTCGAACACGTGCTCGGCTTTTTCTGTAATTGTTCAGGGTTTTGACACTGAATGCTGTAGCTACCACTGCTGCTTTTTGAGAACTACCAGGAAGAATAATTGTAGGCTTTAACAAATCAGAAACAGTGAGAGGTCTTGATGGATTTCAAGTCTCTTCTGCAAATTCCTTCTGAAAAGTTTAGCCTTGTGCAGTGCAGTTCGAAAGGAGCACTGCTGATTTCCAGGCCTAGCCTAGGAACTGCAGGATCTCACTTCTCTGCACTGGGTTGTAGCCCATGATACCATGGGCTATCAAGTGCCTTTGCTGCAGTCACGGCATTTCTGATCCTTGCCTTGCATTCCCTTTGTTTCTCCCAGTTAGTCACTGTGCCAATTTAGAGTCCTGGTAATTTATCTCCTAAAGGTAGTCAGATTTTATGTTTAGCTTCTGTGGCCGGTGCTGAAGCTATCATGATTTACATAAACACTCTGAGCATCTCCTAATGACTTTCTCAGGAAGGACAGGAAGGGTGAAAATAAGAACATTATTGATTTGCTAACGACTTTATCACTTCTCTTTCAGAAATGAAGCAGCGAGATCTCCAAGGCCTCTTCAGAGAGGACATGGCAACAAACAAGCTATGTGCTTTATGTGGAGCCCTCTGCTAGCAAACTACACCTTTGTACAAGCCTGCACCAAAGGTCTGGCTTGAGCTTTGTTTGCATATTCAGGGACTTGATGAATAGATCTAGTACTGTAGCAGCTCTACAAACATGCCAGTGAATTGGCTGAGGTGTGAAAATCTGCTTCTTTGAGCAGCGCTTGTTTGGGTTCTCTAATTAAAATCCAATAAAGGATCAGCATTGTCATTCTGATTCATGTAATAAATGCAGACACTCTTGGAAGAGAGGACACTTCCATTTTTTTCCCAGCTTCTTCCCCCCCTTTTCTCCCCCTCCCTATTTGTTCAGGTGCAGAAACCCTATGTGCCAATTCACACACATACTCTCCAAAAAACCCAGGACCTTCCAAGCACTATTTGCACAGCAGAGCCACTTTTCCAAGGCACTCAAGATGTGTATTTGAATTTTAAATGTAGAAGCTCGCTCTAAATGCTTGCCGCAGCGCATTATCAATGTCCCTTTTACCACCCCTGCCTCTCCCTCCCCTGTCCCAGTGACAATAATTCAGGCCTTGGGGGAACTCTTCTTTGCATTCCAGTCTCCGGGATCATACTTTTTGCAAACAGAGATCTAGATAAAGAATCTTCCTGCCTGCCATTATGGGGTTTAATCTTCTCATAAGATGCTCCGTCATGAAACGAGGTTTCCACAGTTTGAAACCAGACCTAGTGGGTGGAATTCAGGCCCGTTCCCTTGCAACCCGCGTGGTACAGTCACACGACCCTGCCTGACACGCACTAAATGTCACCCCAAAGTCCGCGTGTGCGGAATCTCAATGAGCAGCTCGGGGTCGCTCCTGTCCTATGAAATATACATGGCGGTGGATTAGGGTGGGCGCTCGGAATAAGGTTATTGTGAGCCACAATCAGACACCTTGAGCCATAAAGCCCATCCTTGCTATTGAAAGGGACATTTCGTATCGCTGTGAGACCGGCAGCTTTGCAGAGCCTCCGAAGGGCTGGGGGACATGAACAAAAGCAGTGTTGGGCTCCCAGGACAAAGCCCTCGTGGGCTGGAGAAGTCCCGGTGTGGATCGGGACCCAGTTACAGACTGGCGTGGTGAAGCCAATGCTGTTTACTTGCTGTTTCGAAGTAAATTGATATATTTAGAGAAAGCCCATTCTTTTCTTTTGCAGCCAAGTGTTTCTTGACACTTGCAGCACTCTCCAGGCTGGAAGATGCTCTCACAACACCGCTGTACAGCACCAGGAGGCTGGTACACGCCAAGGTGTTCACTTAAAATAATCAAAACGACAATAATTTTCTTTCAGAAGCGCCAAACGCAGCTCGGGGTTTCTCACGAGCTGTTCCCGGGTTGAGACAGCGTGTGGCGTTGTAAGCACAGGGAGGGGAGGCAGAAAGAGATGCGCTCGTATCGGGCGCTGGGAATTTCCCGGCGCCTCCCGGCGGAGGGGCCGCGCTCGGTGTTCGGTTTCCCGGCCCGCTCCTGCCCCGAGATGAGCGATCGCTTCGGATAGGGAGAGTTCGGATCCCACGGAAGGAGGAGAAGGGCGTGTGGCGGTGGTGGGAAGGCTGGGCAAACTGACAGCGAAATTAACGCTGGCAGGAGGTGCTGCAGCTGGCTGGGTTTCTTCCTTCCTTCCTTCCTTTCTTTTTTTTTTTTTTCCTTTTTTCTTTCTCGCATCCCCTCCTCTCCTTCTTTGCCTCCCCCCTCCCACGTGTGCCTCAGAGGCGGGCGCTCCGCTCCGGACCCCAACGGGGCGGGCAGGGCTGATGGGACGGGGAATTGGGGCACAGAGCCCGGGGGTGTCCCCAGCGCGTCCCCCCCCGCCTCACCTGCTTTGACGGAGCAGTGGATGTGCGCCTTGGACTCGTAGTAGACCCAGTCGAAGCCAGCCTCGACAGCGAGGCGGGCCAGCATCCCGTACTTGCTGCGGTCCCGATCCGACGTGGTGATGTCCACGGCGCGACCCTCGTAGTGCAGCGATTCCTCGGAGTGGTGGCCGTCCTCGTCCCAGCCCTCGGTCACCCGCAGCTTCACCCCGGGCCACTGGTTCATCACCGAAATCGCCAGGGCGTTCAGCTTGTCCTTGCAGCGCTGCGGGGACATGGGGACACAGGGAAAGGCGCGTTGAGGAGACGCTGCTGTCACCGACATCAGATGACCCACCGGCCTCCCCGCACCCCTAGGGTCGCATCCTGCCCTTCCTCCCCAGCCAAAGGGAGCAAGCAGGGGTGAAACACCGCAACGCCTCCCCCTCCCCAGCACCTGCTCCACAGCCGGAGTGTGCGGACTCAAAGCCCCGCATTCCTGCTCTAAGTGCCCTGTCCCCTTCCCAGAACAAAGTTCTGCCGAGAACAAACACTCGCCATATATCTGGGAGTCACAGATTCTCCCCGGAATGTCTCCCCCGGTCTTTTCAGCTTAATTCTCTGTTGAAAGGGGTCTCAATACACTTTAACAGCCTTTACGTGCTACTGGTTTTTTGTGTTGTTTTGTTGGTGGTGTTTTTTTTTCCTCGCCCATCACTCATTAGAGTCCTCAAAGCAACCTGGGCTGGGAGCGCTCCCTCTGCTTTCGGCATGGACGTAGGGTAACACGGCTCAGAGAGGGAAGATGGAAAGCAGGACAGGACCAAGCAGAGGAGTTACAGGGATGCTGAGGGGCCTTTGTGTGCAATGAGAGGCTTCAGGCCTCATAGGGAAGGGTTACAGTGTTTTCCTTCACACCCCTGAGCTGCTGGGCTCACCTAGAGCTGCACTGTGGGCAGACTCAGGGGTGAGCTCTATAAGGAGCCCTGAAAGTGTAGAGGATGGGTGTGTGGGCCAATGAAGGGGAATGACCAATTCTACAGGGAGAGGGACTTGCAGCCACCCCCAGCCGTAAGAAATCAGCACTGAAAGCATTTGACTGAAAGGCACACAGCTAGTAAAACCACACAAGGCCAACTTTTCCCCCCTTTTTCAGAGGGAAATAACTCATGACTACAAACAGCACAGATGCACATGGGGTAAAGCCACAGCAAGAGGCAAGCAGAAGCTCTCCTTCACATACAGCCCCAAGAGGGACACCCTGTCCCACAAAGGCCCCTTCCCAGCTCCCAGCAGGGCCAAGTGTGGCCACCCCTTTTCCGACCCCACTCCGAGGGACGTGACAAGATTGTTCAACAAGAAACTTCCCATGTGTCTATCACCACAATAAAAAGCAATTCCAGCAGCACACATGGCCCCAAGAGATATCAAAAGCAATCACGAGCTCACTTTGGACTCTGTGGCCTAGCGCTCGGTGCAAAGAGCCGGGGAGGCTGCTTTCAGCCCATTCCCTGCAGCAGAGCACAAGGAAGCGCAGGGGATTTTTTTACTTTCCCCCTTTGCACACCTGGGAGGATGGATGTGCTCCTGCAGAGCTGTACGGGGACAAGCAAGGTATGGGGATGGCTGGATGTTAGGGTATTTACAAGATCGGGATAGCAGAATATCATGGTAGCAGGATATCGCAGCGTCAGGATATCACGATAGAAGGATTTCACAATACGAGGATATCATGATAGTAGCATATCACGCTAGCAGCTCTAGTGGCGGGTCTCCCTCCCGGCCTCTGGCCCGGAGAACGCAAGGAGTCGGGAATCAAGCAGGGGAACGGCCTCCTAAAGGACTTTCCTCCCTTTCACTCCGCCTGAGCTGGATTGTCGGAGTCAAAAGCCGTGAAGCCCAGACTATTTATTAATTCATCGGGTCGTGTGCCACAAATCAAGCCCAATTCTGTTCAGCCACCGTGAAGCTCAGCAGGGCTGCCTCCGCCGACGCTTTGTGTGGAGGCGAAGTTGTTCAACAAGCCCTCTCCTGCCAGCTCCTAATCTCTTCACAAATGAATTGCTTGAAGGAAACACTTAACAGGTACCTGTCAGTGTAAACAACCTGGTGGGCTTCCTAAATGCCAAGCTGATCTCTGAGTTCCTCCCATCGCGCACCGCCGTGTGCCCGCGTTAGGCGAGATGGCTATTTTATTTCGAACAAATTCCAGCTTTATCGTGCTGACCTGGCCTCCTTATCTCCCAGCCGAATCCAGCCAATGGCCGGGATGGGGGGGAGGGAGGGGGCAGCCCTCAGCAAACCGCTGTTGTCACCTGCGAAGTTGAGAACCCGACTTACCGAGCTATGTTTGCCTTTTTTTTTTTTTCCACCCCCCTCCGAAGTTAATATTAACCCGCGGCTAATGCATTCGGCGGCTATTCCCCGAGTCTAACAATTCCCTCCGGGGGAAGATCTTTCCATGCCTGAAGGGCTCGAGGCGAAGGGCGGGGGGCTGCGGGACGGCAACCCCCGAATCCGACCCCTCTCCTCTGTTCCCCTCTGCCCCAACCCAGCCCTTTTCCCTCTTTGTGCCTAAAGCAAGGCAAGCCGAAAGAAAGAAAAGAAAGAAAAGAAAGAAAAGAAAGAAAAGAAAGAAAAGAAAGAAA